CATTAGGCTCAGGTTTAAAAATAATTCAGTTTACAGTTTCAAGAAGTACACAAATCTGTTATCCCACATGATACAATTAACAAGTCAATCAAGTCCAAGATATTTGTYAAATGTTCAGCAAGCCAAAGAATGTAAATCTGTTTAATGAAGCCAAACAGACTAAAAGTCAAAGAAAACAATGCTCAAATCACAATCAATTCTAGCACCATAGAAGACTTTACCATCTTCTTCTATGTCAACTTTCTCTGCTTTTGAGCGATCTTCCCGGTTTACCAGTTGCCTAGTGGCACAGACCTGCTTTAGGCCAAGGAAAAGGAAAAGTATCAAAGGGACAATCTGTCCCACAACAGCATCTACTGCAGGAGGTCGATTTTGCAATTCAAAAAGGATACTCAGTCTTATTATACACATCTTCCAATCATGATGCCTGCAAAATTTGAAGGGAAAAAAAATGTATACATGAGAAGTGCAATAAAGGACAAAACCCAGAGAAATTACAAAAAGAAATGTTCAAGGCAAACTCTAGGGTTTATTCATTGGGATTGTACAGAAATATCTCCAGTTTTCTGCTATATRAAATCTTACATTAAAAAAGTTTTATAAATCATTATCATTAAAGACCCATGGGAGTCTGCAATTAGCATGGTGAATCTTGCTGTAATACCAACTTATGACTAATGTAAATGCTACATTTSAGTGTTGGCATAATGGGTTTTGTTAAAGCAGAAAATTCTTATACAATGGAAAACCTGGAGAGTTCCCCAGACTCTTCCCATTAGACTAGTCCTCAAGTTTTTTTGGCACAGGTACTGTACACTAACATCAGGTGCCAAAAGCTATTTCAAAAACTCGACATCCAATAAGCTGAGCTTAATAGATCTAAGTAAATCTACTAGCATCCTCTGCTATAACACGGATAAGGAACTCTTTTTATTAAATTATTTATTCTAATTTGTTATACACAATGGCAGAATGCAATTCATTTCATATTACACATATGGAGCACAATTTTTCAAGTCACTCATTGTACACAAAGTATTTTCATACCATTCATGTATTCATACGAATACTGAGGGTAATGCTGTCTAACTCATTCCACCATCATTCCTATCCTCTTGCCTCCTCTCTTCCCCTCCCTCCCCTTTGCCCTATCTAAAGTTTCTCCATTCCTCCCATGCTCTGCACCACCCCAGGAAAATTTAATTCTGAAGGAAAAGATGTTTGACCAATTTATATTCGACATATTTTTCTATATGTTCCCTTTAAATTGTTTAAAACTAAAGATACCAAGAACTAAAAAACTATTATATTAGTAGAACTACTTAAAATTGCAAGCACGAACAAAAAAAGTCACTTGCAGTGGTTCAATTCATTTAAAATGAGATTATAATACAACAACCTCATGAATACTTTATAAGCTTCTGTTATTTCTCATTATTTGCATTGCTTGCTTCATTTGAGTTACTAATGGCCAAGTCGTATGACATAAGAGGAATTGTACTTGACCGAAGGCTTTCTCATTCTCATAGTATCAAACTAGTAGTGCACACCAGTCAAGTGGATCATAGCAGGAAAGATGATTAGTCAGTGGGTCTCTAAAGAATCCAAGGAAGCACTCTCCAAGGATACCCAGTGTATGCAAAAGCTAAGAAAGACTGTATCTTTGAAAAACTGCTTATTCATGTTGACAAAGATAAGACTACCAACTACATAACTTTGCATGAACAAATCTCTACTCTAAATCTTTGTCAGAGATAACTTTAATTAAGCACACTTTTTTGGGGGGAGGGGTGGAGGGGGCTACTGGGGATTGAACTTGGGGACACTCAATTACTGAGCCACATCCCCAACCCTATTTTGTATTTTATTTAGAGACAGGGTCTCACTGAATTGCTTAGCACCTTGCTGTTTTTGAGGCTAGCTTTGGAGAATGTTTTTCCCTTGAAAGTTTCATAGACAAATATATATGAGGGACAAATTCCAGGCTTCTACTAGTAGAAAACAGGCAGAGCATCCTGTAAGTGTGTTCATTCAGTCCTACTCTACCATCCTAACCCAGGCCTTCACTATCACCCACCACATGGTAGTGTACTGATCATTTCTACCCAAGGGTCTACTCCCTTCAGCAAAATTTTCTAAGTAATAACTTATAAAACTTAAAAAATGTTCCCAAATTAAGACAGCAAGCAAGCTCAAATTCTAACATAATATGGCCATCAACATGTGTTGGGTGACTTGAGATGGGCATATAATAATGAAGGACCTTACTTTTCCTGTGTTTGAACCATGCCCCCTGCCGTTTTTTTTTTTTTTTTTCCCTAGCAATATTGGAGATCAAACCCAGGGCCTCATGCATACTAGGCAAGCACTCTACCTTAGCTATATCCCCAGACATAATTTGTGTTGTTTTCTTTGTGGCACTGGGGAATGAACCCAAGACCTTGTACATGCCTGGCAAATGCTTTACCACTGAGCTCCATTTCCATCTCCTGTGTTTAAAAACTAGGAGAGTGTTTCACAGATAGCCAAACTCTTCTACAGAGGCAATCTCTAAGCTAAAATTAATAATCTTTCTGACCACATTTGAGAACAGGCTCCTTTGAGAGCTGAAAAGAGCTAAACATCCCAGGACAGTATGTAACATCTTTGGCAGACTGGTATCCTCCTTACAAACCTGATTGCCCCTAGAATGTCTGCCTACAGACACATAATAGTCATAGCATTTAGACCCTTAATTTTTTCTGCCTAAGATATAATGGCACACAATAATCAAAAACAAATGGGAAGGGGCTGGGGCTGTAGCTCAGTGGCAGAGCACTTGCCTAGCACATGTTGAGGTACTGGGTTTAATCCTTAGCCCACATAAAAATAAACAAAATAAAGGCTTTCTGTCCATCTAAAAGTATAAAAAAACTTTTTTAAATGCAAAGAGGCTTGAATTCTTTCCACTTGTTTGTACTGTTGAAACACATTCATAATGCTCTAAAAATTAAACATTGTGTTACTAATATACCAAAAATATCTCCAATGATATGAAAATTGATTTTGTACATAGTATCCTACATATATATATATATATATATATATATATATATAAAGTAAACTTCCCAGAAACAGAAAGTCAATATGAAGTCCAAAAGGCACACCTACCCAATAAAATAATCTGTATTGTTCATCCACTGGTTTATAAACTGTACAGTGATAGTTCCAGGATTGTGAGGCAACTGAATTCGGTCTAAAGTATGTAGCAGCAAACCAGGATTATAGTACAAGGAAGCAACTGCAACCTGAAGACACATCATACAGAGTTCACGAGTTTTGACCCCTCGAGTTAATCTCTCCAAAACAAGTTGAACAAAGAGAGGAATGCACTAAAGAGTAAAAAGAAAAGAAGAGTCAACCATATACAGAGCAACCAAGTAACTTACAGAAAGCTAATGTTGGCAAAGAGTAGTATCATAAGTCTTAATGACAAAAACATTTTTGCTTATTTAAATTGTTTTTAGATATTTACAAGATTTATATGCTCATAAAATTCACAGAAATTAAGTAAACAAAACAACAGTCCTTCAGCAATGCCAGGAAATCTGCTTTCTTAAGTGAACACTGGAGTTCATGGAAGACTGTCCAGTAGAGTCCACACTCAAATGGTGACAATAACCCATGGGTGAACTCAGCTAGATAAAATGATGAAGGTGGAYTTTTCTTTGATTAATCAAATTGAAAATAAATGATTGGGACTAAAAATAAGTATGATAGTCTCAGTATGTCTCTTGAAAACAATTTTACATGAAAGATGAAAAAGAAGTSGTGAACCCCACACATTAAAATAAAATGATCTAATTCCAATGCTAACTCTGTTTCTTATTCAGATGCAGAATATTCCTGGTTCTAATGTAATAGCACAACACACATGATTTTAAAATATATTAAAAATTATTACCCTGGCCAAATAAYTGGTTGAGAATCAGTGAAGTCACAATGGAAAATAAGCCTGAAGAGCTCTTTTTGAGAGGTTTTAAAAGTAAATTTTAAGTAACTTAATAATACATACAAAGCCAAGAGGAATCAAAGGAATCTTTAAGTTTTAAACTAGTAACACTAAAATTACCCCCTTTACAGTATATTAAGACAAAACTGATTATGGAGACAGGTTGGACAAGTTACACAAATCCACAAATAAAGCACTGTGCAACTACAAGAGCAGTGCAGGAGAGCTGCTCGTACCACTGTGGAGGGTGGCCGCCAAGAGAACAGCGAAAAACATAGGTAGAGTGCACTACTGTCTATGTAAAAAGCAAGGAAAAGAATGAATTTAAAATGAGGGGAAATAGGGAATTGCAGTAAAGGTAAAAGGATCAGTGATGGAGGCTAGACTCCTCTGAATATACCTTGTTTATTAAGTTAGACTTTAGAACTGTGTATATGTTCTATATTCGTTAATTTTTTTTTTAAAAAGCAATCCCTAAAAATTCACATTAATTGAAGTAAATGAATAAGCCAAACAGGGATTATTTTAATAACTTTAATTTAATGATTTGACTATATATTGACTACATGTGTATATTTGTATACTCCTAGAGTATGGACATACCTTGGGTGAAAAGAGCTACCAAAAAATCCTGAACTGTTAATAGTAATCACATATTGATGATAATAATGATATAATTATTCTGAGACTATTGTTTATATTAGTGGAATAAAGCACATAAGTAATTATGATAATAACTATATTTTTTGGTGTAGGAGATAGGACCAATTAGGTTAACTAAAAATAAAGAAGCCCTGAATTTTAATTAGAATAGAAACATCTACATATATCTATGTGTACTAAAGATGCACAGACTAAAAAGAGAAAAAGGTACTTCAGCTTTTTTTCATAGAAACAATGACCAACTCAATATTGATGACTATACATAAATAGCAGTAAGATATATATTATATATGAATGTTAATATATAATTGATGCATATTACATCATCAACATACTAGTATATTAATGACATACTACATCTACATAGAGAGAAAATGTGCATTCATGCATAATGAATATCACTTATGCCCAGCTTATAGTCTTGAAATACCATTTCCCAGGGTAGGGCAGTCTAGGACAAGAAATCTAAACAAAGAGCCTGGAACAGCTAGTCCTACCAGATAATAGGAAAACTACCAATGACTATCAGAGTTATGTCAAAAGGATTCATAAGGGCTGGGAAGATAGCTCAGGGATAGAGTGCCTGCCTAGTATTAGTGAGGCACTGGGTTCAATCTCAGCATTGCATATAAATAAATAAAAAAGTCCATCAACAACTTTTTAAAAATCCAAAAAAAGGGACTCATAAGACAAATTCAAGAGGTTCCCACTGGCCAAAGATGACACATCTTTKTATACTTGGAATATATTCAAATACCTCAAACAATTTGAATTCATAAGTTCATAATGATACAAATCAACAGAATGAAACAAAAACAATATAATAAAACACTTCATTGGTCATCTCTAGAAGACATCAAGAAACAAAAGTATTATCTTGCTGGGCACAGTGATGCACACCTATAATCTCAGCAGCTCAGGAGGCTGAGACAGGAGGATCCTGAATTCAAAGCCAGCCTCAGAAACAGCAAGGCACTAAGCAACTCAGTGAGACTCTGTCTTTAAATAAACTACAAAATAGGGCCAGGGATGTGGCTCAGTGGTCAAGTGCCACAGTGAAAGTTCAATCCCTAGTACCCAAGATAAAAAGTATTATTTTGAATCATGGCAGAAGAGAGAATTAACATACTTAAATACTCAAACTTTCTCAGGATAATCTGATAATTTATGAGAAAACATTTTGTTTTATAGAAATATTTCATATAMTAAAGGAAGAAGGAATGGTAATTAGAATATCACTTTCAACACCACTAACCTCAGAAGATAGGAGACAACTAGACTTACTGTGCTTCCTAGGAGAAATACACAACATCACACATGACTTGTTCTTGCCAAAAAAGTAAAACCTGAGTCTAACCCAATCTCTAAATSTAACTACCATGTGACAGGATATTTAGAGAAATGGAATGCCAAGGTGATGTGTTCCTTAATATATAGTGAATGCACTGTCTATTCACAACCATTAGAAATCCTCTTAAGTCCTCAGCTTTCTGATTAAAAATTCTCTAATACTATCTTCCCAGATCCTTCTACCACCCAGTTTTAGGAGTAGAAATTCACTATATCACTTTAGAGATTTTTGGTTGCTGACTTTAAATGAACCTACACAGATAAAACAATCCTCTTATTCAACTCTTGATTACCTACCATATTGCTCCAAACCGAAATTTCAATTTTTTGCACTTTTACAAGTCTTCCTAATTTGCTGATAAACAAAGCCAAGATAGGCCAGTAGTTCAGCAGAGAAAGCCCAGGAAGGAGACAGCCAAGAACAACTTTCCTGGGGAACAAGAACAACCCTCATGGGGACAAGACAAACCTCAGAAGAACCTGAAAACAAAAACTCAGCCATTACAAATGCTTAAAGAATAAAGGAGGGCTGGGGTATAGATGAGTCTAGAGTGCTTGCCTAGCAGGGGAAGCCCCTGGGTTCAACCACCATGAAGGAAGAKGAAAMCATTCYTAAAGGAAACTTTGATTACAATACCTCAAATATAGAATAACAATAAAAACAGACATTTTTGTTTGGTTCATAAACCGGCACTGATGGGAATTTCAAAATAAGAGTTTCTAAACAATATTGAGAACTGCAAAATGTATAGAGTTAAGTTTGTGGCCACGATCATTTCAAACGGTCCCTTTATTAAAATGACAGCCACAGTACTCAATCTTCACAATACATACATACACACATTAATTTTGTGATAACAGATTAAATACTGAGAAATGTGTTCTCCTTTTTGCATTTTACAAGAAAGTCCTCCAAATGTGAACATACATTTCATTTTATTACATTTTTGGGAAAATCTGTATGTCCCCTTTGAGATTGGTGCGCGGGGGTGGGGTCATATTAAACAAATAGTTTAAGATGAAAACTCAGTTTTGGATTCTTTACAGTGACTGTCAAACGGATCATCACCTAAAGCCAAAACTGAAGAAACAGTTCTCAATTTCGTGGATATAAGTACACACAGGGAAAACAGCTTATGGTGTTCCAGGACACATTGTAATGAAGATACATTCTCAGAAAAAAGAAGGAAAAAAGAACCACCCCTCGGGGCTGGGGATGTGGCTCAAGTGGTAGCGCGCTCGCCTGGCATGCATGCGGCCCGGGTTCGGTCCTCAGCACCACATACCAACAAAGATGTTGTGTCTGCCGAGAACTAAAAAAATAAATAAATATTAAAAAAAAAGACCCACCCCTCAAGATGGCATATGGGGATCTGAGATGAAGAGGCCAGGAGAGGTGGGAAGGGGTAACTGCGAGTGGGCTGCACACAGGAAAGTGTGCCAGAAAGGAAAAAGAACCTACTCATGGATGACAGTGTTCTGCCTTGGCAGAGATGAGACAAATATAATAATTCAAAAGTATTCTCCGTCCATGAGCACGTTCTCATGTGAATCAATAACCTCAGTGCACACCTACTTTACTCTCTACAGAGAATGTTCAAATCGTTATTAGTTGTTGTGCTCAGGTCTTTTTCATTCCTACTGATACATTTACAAAGATATGACTGCGCTTTCGAAGCGAGACAACTTATTCTTTTTAAGAACTCTCCTTTCTCCTTCCTTTTCTATAATCATATGTTCATTTTATTCTTATTTCTTTCCCTCAACATCATTTTCATCTCACTTTTTTCCTCTACTCGTCAAAACTGTTTCCATCTCCTGTTGTGTGCTCTCTGCCATTCTCAGGAAAAATACACATTTACACATACATACACTTAAGTCTTGAGGACTAATAAAATGAGTTATTCGTCAAAGTCCAACTCAACAGATTCCAAGGACATAATCAACATGATCAGTCATTGGTCAGGATGAAATAATCACTTCACACCCACTGATCAAGTCACAATAAAAAAATAGATAATAAGATAGTAAAAATTACTAGTGAAGATGTAGAGTAAGTGGAATATTCCTATGTGACTGGTAGGATATATCGACTGGTACAGTCAGTAGGGGAAAGAGTTCAACAAAAGACAAATTTATGCTCTGTATATAATTTGGCATCCCTTCTCCCAAATTAAAGTACTTGTATGAGAATGTATATAGCAGAATTATTCATAATACCCTAAATGAAAACCACCCAAATGTCCATAAGTAAAACGTTTATAAACAAAAGAGAATACTACATAGCATTAAAAATAAATGAAAGTACTTACCCATACAATAAGGAGAACAAACATCAAAAACATTATGCTAAATTAATTCTGACAC